TCTACTCTTCAACCAAAAAGTTGAACTCCTGTATTTCTAACCCAGGTTGAGGATCTCTTCTACTGCTTAAAACTGAATACTGGCGCTCTTGAAAAAATTCTAAGATGAGGGGCCTTGACAATCCATGGGTTTGCCATTCACAGTTTTGAGTCATAAATGACTCTGAAGCTGCACTATAAATACGTGTAATTCACCGTGTGTGTTATAGCACAACTTCTGCTCTTCCAGACTCAGGTGCAGAAACAGTTGGATTCTTGCCTACAGCAGAAGAGTTAAGAGTGCAGATTCTGGCCTTGGACCTCTTGGGTTTGAATACCAGCTTCATCACTTACAGCTAAGGGACCTTAGCCAATGGGAGGCCTCCCTGCACCCTAGTTTCCTCATCTCCAGAATGAAAATAACTATAGAATTTGCGCCATGGGTTTGCGGTAGTGATTAAATAAGACAGCATACAAGAAGTGCTTAGCACAATGCCTGGTGTATAATAAGCACTCACTGAATGTCAGCTGTTATTGATGCTATTAATATTATTAAACTGTGTAGCTTGAGAATAAGCCTAGTCTATCCCATATATCATTCCAGCTTGGTTTAGACTTGGTCTTTGCTCTCTTCATTTCACAAGGGATACCAGATATGGCATAGTTGGATAAGTTTGAGGAGGCACTCCTTTTGAATGTCATGGGGAAGTGTGTTTTAAAATTCCTGTCTCAAGTCTAGCACTCTTTTAGATGCTATCTTTTCCCCCACTAGCTGATTTGCTGTAGCATGCAAAAGCTGTAAGAAGAGATAAATCCAAACCATCTGGTTTCCTTTCAGAGTTGTTTTCATTCTGCCCTTCAGTGAGAAACATTTGAGTTAAAAAAATTCAAGTGATACCACACCAGTGGGCTAATTTTACTCCTGATGATATGTATTATACTTACTAGGATTCATGCCTTCCAGAAACACCAGAAATGAAAATCTTAAAAAGTAATTTTTTTCATTTTATTCCTGTGGCACATGGAAGTAGCATTTGAAGAAAAACATAATTTTTACTACCAATAACAATATAAAAATTGTGTGCTTAGCATTAAAAAGGTAGAAACATCTAACGTTATTTTTAAAAAATTAGACCTACTGTGTGCTAGGATGGGGTATGGGACACTGGGATTATAGGAGTGAGTCAGATGTAGATTTTCCCCTGGTGGAGTTTACAATTGACTGGACATGACCACTATCATACCAATTATTGTAAGGTTAAACACGATAAAATTGCCAATAGTCTACCATTTCTGCCCTCCATAGTGCCAATTTCTTTCAACCCATTGTTACGAGGAGTGCTGTCAGGGATTATATGATGTTATGGGAATGTATCTCGGGGCTCCAGGGATGACTTCCAAGGAGTGTGGTTTAAGGAAGACTAGAAGCAGGCTAGGCAAGGAGCTGGCGAGGGAACAGCATGTGTAAAGGGGACGGAGACACAAGGTGGGGCTAACAAAAGGAGCCAAAGTCTTCCTTATAGGACTCACTAAGAATTTTGACTTTATTCTATGGCAGTGGGAAGATTGTTCAGAGGCTTAGACAGGAGGGTGATATGATCAAATTATGTGTTCTCAAAAAGCTATCCCTTTCCCCGCCGTGAGAGTGGGATTTAGTGCCGTGAGCGAGAGCGGATGGGCCGAAGTCAGCTGGGAGGCTCCTGCCGGCACCCAGGCATGAAATGGTGGTTGGCAGTTTACAGGATGCACTCCACTGTGGTATATTATTTTATCTCAGAACAGCTCTTATGCAAGGTGTTACTATCAGCTTCAGTTAAATGACATACCCATGGTCAGATGGTGCACATGGCATTTAGGCCCATGTACCAGCATCCCTGGGTGTGGGCCATTGATTTCTCATAAGAAAGGGTTTGCTTTTAAGAAACAGAATTCCCATTCCTTGGTGGTGGAAGGTAGGGATGAGAAAGTCAGTTTTAGCCTAGGTTTTTGACTGAAAGTTGAGAAGCAAGCACAATGTGACATGGAACTTGATACTAAGCTGGAGCATTTTTTTGGAAAAAGATGCATTTATTAATTTCATGTATTTATTTATACCCTGCCTCATTCCAAAACATGGATTTGAAACAACTTTCAAAACACATATGGTATGAGGAGAGAAGGTAAAATATCGGTGTAGGCAAATTAAGATGATGCCACAGGTGTCTTAAGCCCAACAATCATTTGCTAAAGAGGGATTCATAATCAACTCTAAAGATTAACATGCCCCCCACCCTCCAAAATAAAAACAAGCATTCTGCTCAGAACAGCTTTTCCTTTCACTGTTTTCCCCATTTGGTTTTCATAAAGATTCCATAAAGATAGCCGGCTTGTGTGGCTCAGTGGATTGAGCGCCAGCCTGCAAACCAAAGAATCGCCAGTTCGATTCCCAGTGTAAGGCACATGCCTGGGTTGCAGGCCAGGTCCCCAGCAGAGGGTGTGCAAGATGCAACCACACATTGATGTTTCTCTCCCTCTCTTTCTCCTTCCCTTCCCTTCTCTAAAAATAAATAAATAAATAAATAAATAAAATCTTTAAAAAAAAACACAAAAAGAATCCATGATACAGTGAGCAGTATGCATACCTGTTTTACAGAATGAGTAAGGGAATTGGAGTGAATTAATTAACCCAATTAATGCCTGGAAACCATTTTCTTATTAATATACCAAGTTATGTGACCTTTGGTAAACAGTTTCCTCCACGGTAAAATCAAAGATTTGGATAGAGCTCGACCTCTCAAAGTGGGTTCCATGGAATGCCTGAGAATGCGTCAGGAGGAGTGCAAAGCCATGGGACAAAAGTGCCATGTGGGTTTTGTTTGAAGATTTTAATGACAAAACCGTATTAAAATTTTTATGAAATGTATTTGGAGTCATTGTGGAAACAGTTGAACCTAAGTATCTCATTGTAGGGAAATTTACTTTCTTATATAGCCATGAGATGCACATCAGCAACCCTTCTCTCCTTCATAAAGATAGAATACAAAACTATATAAAACCTGAAATTTGATGTATATGTTAATAATTTGCATTCAGTTCATGGAGTTTACATGTCCATTACCATAATACTCGTTTTTAAAGGGGGAAATCTTGCCATTACACCAAGAGAGAAAACACAATTCTGTACAAATAACACATGCCGGGAGTGGTGCTTTGTAAGTATTTTCTCTGTTCTCCGTACGGTTCTGCAAGGAATTATCTCCAGGTTATGGATGTGGAAACAGAGACTCAGAAAAGTTGAATAAATTTGTCTGGATTCACTTAGCTAGTAAATGTGGGAGTCTAAATTTTATTCTGTTGCCTCAACAGGGTAGGATTAATTTTAGGGCACAGCTTGTAATTTGTGCGTTTATTTTTACTTATCAAACACTGTGATGTTGATCATTAGGTATCTTCCAGGATGCAGCATTTAGGAAATTAGCATCACAGACTTGGGTGCGGATTATCTACTTTAAGCAGTAAAGAGTTTAACAGCTGTTATTCTGTGATTTATGTGAGGGTGTGGTGCTTCCCCCCCTCCCCCCAGTAAATCATTAATAATAAGGATGAAGAGCAGCTCCTGGTTTAGTGTTATTGAGTGTATTCCCGTAAGGCTATGGATCCCTTTGAATGCTTTGCCAGTCAGTGCAATATAAAGATAGTTACAGAAGAATACTTTGGGGGCTGTAACTGACTTCAGAAGCCATTTAATTAACAGGTTCCCAACTGTGCTCTCCATAGTCCTCAAGGTCCTATGGGGGCCCCACAGGGCCCCAGTGGATGACGGAGCAGAATCTGTGTTGGGCTGGAGGCCCCTCCACATATCATCCCCGCCTCCACGGCAGCCAGCTCCTGTTTTATTGGTTTTGTTTCTGCACCTGTGTAAATTTTTGGTGGAAGAAAGGGTGCTACACCTAAAAAAAAAAAGAAGCAAAACAAAAGTTGAAACCACTTTGAAAGCTACTGGTTATCTAGTTCCTTATTTTCTTCTGTGGAGTGGGTTTTGGCTCAAATGGGTGAAATGATTGGCCTGAGAAAGAAAAAGGCACTGCTGAGCTAGAATTAAAGCTCACCTATCAAACCATCATGCTCTGCATTTTAAATCTATACAATTATATTTGTCAATTACTTATTCCTTAATAAAGTTGAGGGGGAAAAAAGTGTTAAAAACTAACCTTCTAGCCCCCAGCCTGGTGCCGCAGCCCCGGTGCCACATTGAATGGCTCAGTGAGGCCTCTCAGTAGCTGGGAGAGAACATTCTTAAAGTTGGGCAGGTTGTGTATCCAGCTGTGAAATAAAGGTAGAAGTTTTGTGCTTAGATGTCTTTTAATGTCTCATCTGAAATACCCTTACCTTAAACTTAATTCTCCTAGATCTGAATATATTCTGTATCATGACTTTAAAGGCCCTTTATCCTAAGGCCCCATATCCTGTTTTTGTAGGACTCTCCATGCAAAGAACATTCTCAGTAGAGTCTTAATTACACACTTGAGGGCACAGTATCAAGTCACTTTCATAGCAACTCGAATCAGTGGGGAGTGGGTGGTGGTTCCTGCTTCAGTGGTGTTTGCGACCCTCTCTGGATTCAGCAGGAAGGAGTGTGATGGCCTATCAGTGATGTGTGCTGTAAGCCCCCACATGGGGAGGGGCACCTAGATTTTACCCTCCCTGCAAAGGGAACCACTTCATCCTTTAAGGGCCTATATGCACAAAATATGAGCTATATCTGTATTCCTTCCTCAACATTGTATTGTTTATCTTGATGTCATGGGTGCTCTAAAGAAGGCAGAAGGAAACCTACAAGAAATGGAAGAAAATGGTCATTTTCTTATTACTGTTCCAAAATAGGAAGAAGAAAAAAGGTTGCATTTCTTAGTTTGTAGAGAATATGATAGAGTAATGATAGTCCTTTTTTTTTTTTAAAGAAAATGGCCCCAAGTTTGTAATGCGTGTATGAAAATTATATTGAAATAGAAAAAATTTTTACCTTTTTTTCCCCCCCCATAGGATTTGCCTCAAAGGGTACTCCCCAAATTGCACCAAGAAACCCCAAGCAAGCTGCCTGAATAGCCCTGCATATTCTTGTTTCACATCCTGTAAAGGACCAGAAAAATCAAATTGGTGGTTTTGGGTGAGTACACAAGCTGGAGTCCTTTTCTTCTTAAGGGCAATTTAAATTTCATTCCTATCAACCAAGATATCTGCTGTTTAGACAATGTGCACCTGGTGTGTCATTATGTGGCAACATGAGTGGTTATATAAAATAAGTCACTTCGAACCCACAATATAAATTCTTATTTCTTATTTAGTTAACATGTTTGTGGCTCAAGAGGAAAAATTACTGCTGCCATATGCTGTGCATGTGTGAGCATCTTAGGAGTTAAGAGATGAGGAATAATACGTATTGCTTATAATTTGTCTTTTACATACCCCCAAAAGTGGTCAAGGACATTTCAATCAGCATTGTCTTTTGAAAGGGTTGGGCACAAGGAAGCGCCTTTTGCCAGCTACAGAAGATACTTGTATGTTCTTGAACAGCCCTCATGTCTCTTCTAATTTGTTCCCTTGCCTGTCGTATGAGGTAAAAGTAATTGTCATGTCAGACTCTAACTCATGGCAATACAGTGAATTACAACATATGTAAATACACTTTGACGGCTATATAATTCTTTACAGATAGAAGGCATCATTATTCTGCGGGTGGTAATTTTAAGTACGCTGTGGTGGGGACAGGAAGCATTAAAGAAAGAGGTGACTTGTATCCGCTGCACCTGGAACCTTGCACGGCAGGCCTCCCAAGTCGCAGCCGCAGCCCTCACGTAGATCTGACAGGTGGAGGCAGTCGATCCTCGCATGTCACAGGGGTCCTGGTGACACGGATGTGTCCCATCAACTCACCCCTAACTACCCCCGAAATCCCTTCTTTTCATATCCTCTAGGCTGGGATCTGGACATAGTCTGCTGAATTCAGGGGCTTGGAGAGCCAATTTTTAAAAAACGATATATTTTTCTTTTTATGAAAGCGTATTTATTAAAAGAATCCTGGAAATTAAGGAAAAAATATAAAATTACATATAATTCCACATTCCAAAGAAACCACAATTAACATTATGGTATATTTATTCTTTTTTTATTTTTAAAAATATTTCATATACGTTCTAAAATGTGATTTAACAAGGTTAACATAGTTGAGAACATGAAATTAATATTCTAGCCCAAAACTATGTGTAATTTACTTAGCTGTCTCCATACTGTTGAACATTGTTTGTTACACTGAATATAAATGTATACTATTATATTAATTAAATTATAAATACCACTGTAGTGAACATATTTGACTATAAATTTTACTTGTGTTTCTGATTATTTTCTTTTTTTTATTATTATTTCTTTTGAGAGAGAAAGAGAAACATTGGTTTGTTGTTCCATTTATATATATATTTATTAGTTGTTTCTTGTATGTGCCCTGACCAGGAATTTAACCCTCAACCTTGATGCTCTAACTGAGCTACCCAGCCAGGGTCTTATTATTTTCTTGGGGTAAATTCCCTAAGTGGAATCATTGGGCTAATGAAAACGAACTATTTTTAGTGAACAATGTAAAGATCTTGATATTCAAACTGTCTTCCAGAAATGTACCAAATTATACTTGTTCTCCCTTTACATATGACAATGTTTATTTTACTGCATGCGCGTTATGATTAAGTTCTATCACTTTAAAAAGGTTTAAAACCACAAGTATTTCTACAGAAGCTCAGGAAATAAAAGCCTGTTCCCTCCCCCTGGCCTACTCCAGCCTTAATCAATGCCAGGCCTCTAAAGTAGAAGATAGTGTCATTCGAACAAAATTGTGCATCAACATCAATCTCTTGGATCTGTTATGGGGAAAAGCATTTATGAGGCTTGCATTCATTCACTAGGTATTTATTATCACTGCTTTTGTTTATTTCAGTACTATGTGCTTCAGGAGAACAAAAAAAAAACATTCCTTTCATTGTTTGTGAGAAGCTTAATTCCGTTGGGAGTCCAAACGACAAACTTAAAAACACTTAACCTTGGGTAGGTCAATTAATCTTCCAAGGTGTGTTTCTTCTTTAAAGTGAGAGGCTCAGTTTCTCTATATCTAGAAAGTATTGTAAGTTGTTTTTAGTAAAAAGATGTTAGTACAGCCTCTGGCTGGTGTGGCTCAGTTGGTTGGGAGTTATCCCTCAAAGCAAAAGGTCATCTGTTCCATTCCCAGGGCACATGCCTGGGTTGTGGGTTCAGTCCTCAGTCAGGGCATGTACAGAAGGCAATCAATCGATGTTTCTCTTTCTTTCTTCCTCCCTTCCTCTCACTCTAAAATCAAAAATTAAATTAGATTAAAAGAAAAATGATGTGAGTATACATGGTAGTGAAAACAACAATAAAGCTCATTATGTAGATATCTAAATTTAACTGTGAACATGATGTGTTGTATCACTTCCATTATCCAGTAATGAAAGCACATTGATTTCTTTAGGAGAGAAACATTTCCCTGCCTTCGATACTAAGAAAAATTTTCAAGTTGATAATTTTTAAACATAAAATTAAGCTAATAGGAAAATCCTTCAAGATGGCCTTTAAGTTTTTCTTTAGTTTTCACATCTATAATTCTTAAATAACTGATAAACTACCAAAGGCCAAGGACCCCTAAAGCAAAGGAGTGGTCAGTGGCTTCACAGAAGGGTTTATAGAATCATGACTAGAATTTTAAAGGCAATTGATTCTATAGAATTGTTCTGTCTACTCTCCATCCTCATCCTGGTACCTGTTGCCTCCCCAAACACAAACACCCTAGAGGTCTACACTTGCGCTGTTCACTTTTGTTTTTTTTAATCAGATTTTCAAGTTTTGGAACACGCCAAACAAGTTTAAGGGGTTAATAAGTTCACAAATACTTAGCTTGCTTTCACGATTACCACCTACACCTACACCTGCCAGAAATGTAAAAATTGTGTGACTACACTACTGAGCTGTACTGAGCAATTCAGGGAGATTGGGCCAAACTTTAGCAAGAAAGTCTGCCACCTGCCATCTGATCTTTCTCTCTGAGGTAGATTGTCCCTTGCATATTAACATAGAGTAGATACTTCGTAAATATTTTTTGGATTCCTCTCTACTCAGACTTTTTGAAAGTTTGTAATATCAGCTTGCTTTGTATGTTAAAAAGTATATATTTACATTTATGTTGGGATAACTTCCAAAACTCTAAAAGTATGAAGAAATTAATAGTTCCCCCAAATAGCTCTAATCTTAATCTTGAAACAGCACACTTTTTTGACAACATTTCTCACAGATAAAAAGTCTCACTTGCTAATATATTGATAATTTTTGTGTTCTCTTTGCAATTTGAATTGCAAACATGAAGAAAAAACTGTATAACCTAGAACTTCATTTTTCTGATCATTTTCCCATTTTCTCATAAAAATCTGCATTTCTTTTTATTCTGCATTTCATAAAATAACCTTTTTTCATGATACTCTTTTTATTATGGTAATATATGTAAAACATAGTATTTACCATTTTAACCATTTCTAGGTGTATAGTTCATCGGCATTATATATATTCACATTGTTGTGCAAATACCACCATCCATCTCCAGAACTTTTTTATCTTTCCAAATGGAAACTCTGTACCCATTAAACGGTAACTCTCCAATCTTCCCTCCCCACAGCTCCTGGCAACCACCTTTCTCCTTCCTGTCTCTATGAATTTGACTGTTCCAGTTATCTCATATAAGTGCAATTATACAATATTTATCCTCTTGGGTCTGGCTTTTTTCGCCTAGCTTAATGTCTTCATGGTTCATCCATGTTGTAACATGTGTAAGAATTTTCTTCCTTTTTAAGGTGAAATACTATTTTATTGTGCATATATACCATGTTTTGTCTATATATTCATGTATTGATGGACATTTGGGTTATTTTCACATTGGCTATGTGGATAATAATGCTATGATCATGGGTGTACAAATAACTGAATCCCTGCTTTCAAGTCTTTGGAATATATGCTCTGCAGTGGAATTGGTGGATCATGTGTTAATTCTGTGTTTAAGTTTTTAAGAAACCACTGTACTGTTTTCCCCAGCAGTTGCACCATTTTACATTCCCATGAACAATGCACAAGGGTTCCAATTTCTCTACATCCCAGCCAGCACTTGTCTTTCTTATTTTTTTTCCTCCCTCCCTCCCTCCCTCCCTCCCTCCCTTCCTTCCTTCCTTCCTCCCTCCCTCCCTCCCTCCCTCCCTCCCTTCCTTCCTTCCTTCCTTCCTTCCTTCCTTCCTCCCTCCCTCCCTCCCTCCCTCCCTCCCTCTCTCTTTTCTTCTTTCTTTCTTTCTTTAATACTGGCCATCCTAATAGATATGAAGTGGTTTAACATTGTGATTTTGATTTGTGTTTCCCAGATGATTAGTGATGTTGAGCATCTTTTCATATGCTGGTTGGCTATTTGGGTATCATCTTTAGAGAGTTGCCTATTCAGCTTTTTGCCCGTTTTTATATTGGTTGATTTCTTTGGTTGTTGCATTGCAGGAGTTTCTTACACATTCTGGATATTAATTCCTTAAAATTTTAGGGGATTAGTTTCTCGCGTTCCAAGGGTTGCCAAAGTATGTTCAACAAAAGAACAACAGAGGTAGATAGCAGTTTAGGCTAAAAAGAAAAAAGGGTATGTGATAATAATGTATACCTGTTTAGCAGCAGAGGAAAAGAGAGAGGACACTCTACACTGAACGTAGCTGTGAATTATGGGCTACAGTCAATATTTATTTGTTTTTGTACAAAAATAGATTCCATGCTGCTTTCGAGAAACAAAGCTAGATGTGCCACAGTTGTGTTTTCAAACAGTTTTTCTAAAATAGTTATCCTGGCTCTGTTTTACTGTGGACAGTGTAGAATGGGTAGGTCTGCCAAGCCTTCGCTTGCAGAATCTTGAGAAGTAGGAAGGAACTCCCAGGCTGTCGGCGGCCTCCCAGGATCGCCAGGGCCGAATGTCTGCGCCGGTGCCTGGTGGGCTGCTCGCTGACGGGTTTGGAGATAAGAGCCCCCATGAATATGACTCAGAGCTGCAGGATTCTCCACATGAATTAGGTTCTCAGCATTAGAACATGG